CCAAAATGGTCAACGAGAGCTGTCGGGTATTGGGTTAAAGGTCAGACGACTTCCAATACTTTTGTTCAGTCAGTTGGACAAGTCGTTACAGTACTTGACACTCCTATGGGCATGGAGGCCCTGGCTGACCGGGTTTGAATCCTTCAGGGGTCAAAAGTTTTTTTATTTATGTTGGCTTGGGGACCATTCAAGCTTGACAAATATTAGCATATTTTGGGAGCAGGTTTTCTTTTAACACAAATGTCATTAAACACAACAACATTGTGGCTATTAATTTTCTTTTGTATATTTTCTAGTCTCCGCAAATATCTTCTACCATCTGGAGGGTGTAGAAACACTTGATCACTTATTCTTTTCACTTTTATTGTTCGACGTTTCGTTAGCTATGTGACATCTTCAGGAATACACTGTTTCACTGACACATGTACACTGAGCTTACAAGGATAAATCTAGATGTGGGTACATCTCACTTTACGATTCAAATACTCTCCTTAATCGTAGGGAGTGTCGAAGGACAATAATCACATGTACCAACGATCGTAGGAGACTTCGTACGCTTGAGGCTGTGCTCATTTGGAAACTGACACCAGTAATCAACATCCGGCTAAATTCGACCTCGAGCATACAACTGTTCGATGGTCCTCCATTGATCCAGAGGGAAGATGAAAGACCTGGCGGACAACTAGAAGCCGCAGTCAGGCAACAATCACCTCACCCTATCCTTCTGCTCTCCCTACGATTAAGGAGATTAGCTGCCTGTCTTCATCAGCAGTTAGGCTACAATGGAGTAGAGATAGCACCGGCCTGTGATTTGGATCACCTGATCCCAGGTGATCCAAATTCCCAAGGAAAACAAATCACCAGAAACAACTGGACAGAGGAATGCAGGGAGAGTAATCCAGAACAAGTATAATTTTTGTAAAGGAAAGAGGTATTTTAAAGAACAGAAGAAACGATCTTTGATATACATTAGGACTTGTGCTCAATTGATATATTTGATGATTATTTATTTTTCTCGTTTCCTTAACGAAATCAGTGATACATTATTGAACAAATCAACAAAAAATATTAACAATTGAATCTCAATGTAAACGGGATCGGTTCAGTCGTTCATAGAGAACGGGTTAACTGGATCGATGTAATACCAAAGAAAAATCTGCAGCAAGTAGAGAAAACAATAATTGTTACTAATATCCTTTCATAATGAACCACCAATATTCAGAAGTGCGGACTGCATAAGCCAAATAACCATCGATCTAAACCTGTGGTATACTACGGGCAATTCTTAATAAAAGTGAGAACAAAGTAACAAACATATCATCAATGTCTAGGGCTGCAAAATTTACATAATCCAACTGACTGACGCGGAAGGGAATTTTTGTCATAACTATGACCCTCATCAGGAATACATCAAGGGAAAAAAAGTCAATCGATTATTTCCTATGTGATGTGTAATATTGAAACTTAAATACAGAATTTAATTCCCAGAAGATGGGAAGGACATTGATGCCCTTTTAACAAAAGCCCACTATCCAGGGCTGAGGAAATTATATGATCTAATTAGACATTGACGTGCAAGGCTGAAAATTATCCTAACGCCATAGTCATGGGTGTATCACAAAGGATGGGGGTGAGAGGGTCCAGCATTCATATTACTATGAAACTGACATACAATATTGGAACTTAAATATGAGTCTAATCTGTGCTAACATTAAGAATATTGGGACATTGGTTGATCAGGGCTGCCTCAGATCAGAATTCGTTCCACAAAACCCCTTGCAATGTACAATATTCTTTGAACCTCAAAAGTTAATAGTGACAACATAAAATAAAATATAAATACAATGCACTCGATTGCTAGGTCATTCTAATTGAGTTAAAAAGTTGGCATAAACGCCCAATTAAAGATTTACCTGTTTATCCATGTACACGTATGCACAATCAGTGCATGGAATCGCATACACACAACCTGCTGTAGACAAGAGCGAATTCTTGATTAAAATGGACTTAATAGAACTATTATTTTTGAACACCGGAATAATATTGCAATTCTTAAGAACTGGAAAAGTTCAGCTAGTCCTTCAGAATACAGTAACATGAGCAAGTTTCAAAGTTCCGGTTTAACTTTGGGAGTATGAGTAGCATATACGTTTAGTTTGCCCTAACGAAAAATCCAAAAAGGTTTTTGGGTATTGTAATTTCTTCCCAATTTCATATATTTTTGACGTCCAATTTCTTCGATATTTCTTCGTCAAAAAATTTAGGGCTGCAAACCCTCGGGGCTCTGAGAAACACTCCAAAAAACACTGTCCGCTTAACTTTATTGTGATCAGAGTAAAAATGAACATACAAGGCCACAGTAGTAGGCTTCCTATATACACATTGAATTTGAAACGCCTACTAACTCTATGAATCATAATGTGTAAGAAGGGGAGAATTCCATTCTCTTCGTTCTAACTTGTGAATTTAATTGAAGGAACCAGAGAATTAAGTAGATTAAGAAAATCTATTTGGTCAGGGTTAACCAGCCAAAAGCACAAAATATCGTCGACGACGGTGTGGTATAGGTACGTCGATATTTTGTGCTTTTGGCTGGTTAATCACGACCAAATAGATTTCCTTAATTCGCTAGTTCCTTCAATACTAAAATTGAATTCATGCGGATGCACAGGCAAAATGGCACAGAATAACCAGATCTCTTATTTGGGTCACACTAAGCTCTACAATCACCTAAGGTTGCTTCCGAGTAAACATTTAGACTTTCTTAAATGATTTATTGGACGTATACATCGCAGAACGTTCGGGTAAACAGAAAATGCATTCTGTACATTCATTATTTGACATATTTATTTCTTACAGAAGCCATTTATTGTGTAATACCTCGCATCATAGATACGTTATATAACATAAGCCTTCGACCTTAATATAATTATGAACAAGTGTGTCTTAGCGGCCGTAGCCGTAGCCGCTGCTGCCCTTGGCCCTGGAGATGGCCTTGGTTGCTGAAGCCTGAGCCTGGGCAGCCGCACCAGCAGAGTCTTCCAAGTCGTTGAGTGCCACATATTGCTGTTGGTTGAGGGAGTTAGCTGCCTGCTGAGCCTGCCAGGCCATGGTCCTTTGGGCGGCCAGGAAGTTCTGCTGTTCGGCCAGGCTATTGGCTGCCTGGTTGGCCAGAGCCTTGGCTTCTGAAAGGATCTGGGCAATGTTGGCGGCCAGGCCTTGGGCCATAGAAGCTGTTACCTTGGCGGCTTGGTAGGCTATGTTTGCCTTGGAGGCGAGAGAACCTTCAGCGAAGGCTGCGGCCTGCGCTCCTTGTGCCGCTTGCGTCACCTGAGCGGCCTGGGCCTGCTTGCTGGCTGCCGCGGCCTGAGCTGTTTGTGAAGCAGCATTAGCGGCAGCTGCGGCACCTGCTGCAGCTCCTGCAGCTGCGGCGTGGGCGGCACCGCCTAAACCTGCGGCAGCAGCAGTAGCCTGATTGGCAGCTTCGTTAGCAACATCAGCGGCACTGGGGCCGTGGCCGCCGCCACCTCCACCACCGACCACCAGGTAGCTGCCGCCACCTCCGTGGCCGCCACCGTAGCCGCCACCATAACCGCCGCCATGACCGCCAGCGAACCCGCGCTTATCCTGTGGACAGGGATCAGGGATCATCAACATTTTCCTGTGGACATCCGTTAAGGATCACATTATCTTTGGGTAAATCTCAAACAATTATTAGTACCATGTGGGTTGTATGGTAGTCATTAGTACCTATATCCTATGGATAAGGTTTGATTGCATAATTTATCTAGAAATAGATGCCATGACTATCCTGGAAGGTACTGGTTTAGTATCCTGTGGTTCGGGGCTGAAGGTCGTCATTGTTAGTGGTAACATTTTTAAGTTTCATATTTGTGCTAGTCTGATATCCCCATAAATTTATATACTTAATATAAAATATTCTCTGAATTTATACTAATGCGTTGATGTGAACCTTTGTAAATGACAATTTTAGCCTCGTGTGCCACAATTCATATGATGCTGAAAAGTATTTATATTATTCTACATTTTCCCACCAATTATGACCTGACCACTTGCTATCAATCATTCTATCCACCAGAACTTCATGTTGGAAGGATTTGTACACTAGTATTTTTTACGAAATATATTAATTTAATATCACTTTTGCCTAAGTTTCTTGTCTCTAATATATTAAAAAAAAATACACAAATACAATTACTGTACTCAGATCCGTACGATTTCTAACTACACAAATTCAGAAACGAACAATTTCGATATCATGAACCCATAATTAGGAGGAAAATATAATGAAAATCAAATGAAAGGTTTTCCACAGCGAGTGTTGTTGAATGTAACTGTCATCGTGTTCCCTCCTACACGTCTCAGAATGTCACTATGCACATTGTTATGTAGCTACAAGTATTTTAAAGCGAGAAGCGTTGGATTTCCTTATAATCGCGATAAATGTAATATAATTATGTCCAATTACATCCAATTATTATGATATAATTGAATTATATGTTTTCGTTCTTTTAGTAAAGTTATATAGTTATATAATTGGTTTTATGAATTCATTAATCGAATAGTTGACAGTAAAATAGATGAAATAAACAAGGCTAAATGTACCAAGCTAGTGGAAAACAATTAAAAATTGTTTGGAAATGAATGATCAAATTCCTATTTTCTCGCGACGTAAAATCAAAACAGATGTTTGAAGCCCTAACCAGAGGGTTGATTTTCTATCCCCATATTTCCCTGTCACGGCAGTGTTGGAAACTCACCCTGTCTGAAGAGGCTGAAGAGGCCTTCATTTCCTCGCTCATGGCGCCTGTACAAACAAAAATATCAGTGGTTTGTTTCCTCCTTTCAAATAAGTATAATTTTAATAGCAAAATTAATTATCTTGCCACATTATAACATTGAGTCAATATATTGCTTAAAACAATCTATTAAGCGACATAAGGAAAGCAGTAGGTGAGACTTTAGACCACAGTAAGACTCACCAACCACGAGGAAGGCACACAAGAGAGCCTTGAGCATCATGATGGGAAGGTGTTGGTGGGTCGAAGGAGCGAACAATTGTGACTCCCTCGTCTCCTCCACCTGCTTTATATACACACCTCCGTCCCGAGTAACTCAGCGCGTTAATTGACACACAGACGACTCACGAAGAAAGCTTTTGTCGCTCAGGCTTTGTTGTGCTGCAGGTATTGCTGGTCGACTCGCTTACAAGGTATTGTCAAGCCGCCTCCCAGAGGAAAGACGTGGAAGTCATACCGGATCTGGGCGCCTAAGTTAGCCTACTGTTCAGCGCAAAGCATTAAAATGAGACAATTATTAACTACCCTCCATTTTTATTTGTGTGCTTAATGATCCTGAGTATTTAAGCAATATGCTGACAAAAATCATTTCCGTACGGAATAATATATAACTTCACAAGATACCCCCCAGAAAAAGGCGATGACGTTACCAAGCCCCAGAGGAAAAACAAATGATTTCACTACAACACATTCTAAAAGAAAAATAAGTTAGAGCGGCAAATTTCGCAATGCTGTGGGAGATTACTGAATGTGAAATAAGAAATGACTAAAGTAGCTACGCTTGCTGAAACCAGGGAGGTGCCAAGAAACTCTTTACCCCTGGTTTTTCTTTTTCCTTAAACATTAAACATTTTATATGTATATCTCTACTGATTCAAACATTTGAATGCTGATTTTTTAGGTAATATTAAGTTATTGCGACATCCAGGCAGAATATAGATTAACGGGAGAATGGTTAAACATAAAACATATACAGAGCCCCCCTCTATTAGGCAATAAAGTATACTTGAAGGTTAGAATCAACGTGAACTGCGGCTTTAAACATCCTCGCGGTCGATAAATCTTTAACCTTAACACTCAACGTAATTCACACTTAACCAGAGAACAACATGTATCACAGTAAGAAGAGACGAGGAAAGACTATGTATCCTTGAGATTCACAACAAACATTTAAGATCACACTCGACCTGATCAAGATCACACTGTCGGCCAAAATTACCTGCAAATCCTTCCAAAACACGGAAAGACCCAAGTACTAAATGACAACTATTACAATAGTTTAGTTTAATTAGTTTATCATGCACCCCTCGTACCCACCCTGTAACAAGGTAGTGGACCCCCCCCCATACCCACCTTGTAAAGAGGTAGTGGATCTCCACACCCATACTGTGAGTGGTAATGGACCCCATACCCATCCTGTGAGTGAGCAAACGTTTCGAGGCACATACTGGACTCAGGAACTGAAGTGAAATATCCGTTTAGCTTAAGCAAGTTACAGCAAGTCACAACAATTTAGGTTAACTTAGCGTGTATGACGATTATAGTCACATAATGTGTTCAGGAACGCAACCTCAATCTCCTATTGGCTAAGTAATTAACATTTGTAGTGAACTAGTTACAGGCTTATTGCCTCAAATTTGTGATGAAATTACAAGAGTAGTGATCTAAATCCAATACAGTAGATAACGTTACGGAGGGATGGCTGGGATACAACGTGTGATAAAATAGCTCTTCTCACACACAGGACCGGATACAAAACTTTGGAGCAAGTGCTAAACAAATTGATGGGGAACGCAACAATTGTACCTCATTTCGAATTTTTAAAACCTCATTACGAGAACGCAACAATTATATACACAATTCTAGATGGCATTATACATGTTATACATTCACACGCAGTTGAAATATTTAGATGTGTTGACGTGCACGGCCGAATAACAACGATGCTCAAGAACAAAAATTAAGGCTGCATGACTACTCCGAGAGAGTACACATCACTTCCTACGTATCATGGTTCCCTAACGGATATTAAAACCCACCAAATCTAATGTAACTTAATTCAGCCTAACCTAATCCAACGCAACCAAATATAACCCAACTAAACCTCAATTCACCTTCAGCAGAGCAAGACAGAGTGTGAGTGATCTTGCTCTGATGAAGGCGATTTGAGCCGAAAACGTGTTCAGCATCCTAAAAAAATTAAAAAGTTTTTTTTTTGCACACGCACACACACACACACACACACACACACACACACACATTGGAAGGGTGACAGGTAAGCTTCTAACATGGATGATAAATTTTCTGACTGATAGAAAAATGAGGGCAGTAATCAGAGGCAATGTATCGGAATGGAGAAATGTCACAAGTGGAGTACCACAGGGTTCAGTTCTTGCACCAGTGATGTTTATTGTCTACATAAATGATCTACCAGTTGGTATACAGAATTATATGAACATGTTTGCTGATGATGCTAAGATAATAGGAAGGATAAGAAATTTAGATGACTGTCATGCCCTTCAAGAAGACCTGGACAAAATAAGTATATGGAGCACCACTTGGCAAATGGAATTTAATGTTAATAAATGTCATGTTATGGAATGTGGAATAGGAGAACATAGACCCCACACAACCTATATATCATGTGAGAAATCTTTAAAGAATTCTGATAAAGAAAGAGATCTAGGAGTGGTTCTAGATAGAAAACTATCACCTGAGGACCACATAAAGAATATTGTGCAAGGAGCCTATGCAATGCTTTCTAACTTCAGAATTGCATTTAAATACATGGATGGCGATATACTAAAGAAATTGTTCATGACTTTTGTTAGGCCAAAGCTAGAATATGCAGCTGTTGTGTGGTGCCCATATCTTAAGAAGCACATCAACAAACTGGAAAAGGTGCAAAGACATGCTACTAAGTGGCTCCCAGAACTGAAGGGTAAGAGCTACGAGGAGAGGTTAGAAGCATTAAACATGCCAAAACTAGAAGACAGAAGAAAAAGAGGTGATATGATCACTACATACAAAATAGTAACAGGAATTGATAAAATCGACAGGGAAGATTTCCTGAGACCTGGCACTTCAAGAACAAGAGGTCATAGATTTAAACTAGCTAAACACAAATGCCGAAGAAATATAAGAAAATTCACCTTTGCAAATAGAGTGGTAGACGGTTGGAACAAGTTAAGTGAGAAGGTGGTGGAGGCCAAGACCGTCAGTAGTTTCGAAGCGTTATATGACAAAGAGTGCTGGGAAGACGGGACACCACGAGCGTAGCTCTCATCCTGTAACTACACTTAGGTAATTACACTTAGGTAATTATACACACACACACACACAAGATACAATAGATAACCCCTAAATCTCTTTCTTTATCAGACTTCTTTAAAGATTTCTCACATAATTTATAGGCTGTGTGAGGTCTGTGTTCTCCTATTCCACATTCCTAAACATGGCATTTATATACATTAAATTCCAATTGTCAAGTGGTGCTCCATATACTTATTCTGTCCAGGTCTTCTTGAAGGGCATGACAATCATCTAAGTTTCTTATCTTCCCTATTATCTTAGCATCATCAGCAAACATGTTCATATAATTCTGTATTCCATCTGGTAGATCATTTATGTAGACAATGAACATTACTGGTGCAAGAACTGAACCCTATGGTACTCTGCTAGTGACACTCCTCCAGTCAGATACATTGTCTCTGATTACTGCCCTCATCTGTCTGTTAGTTAGAAAGTTTTTCATCCATGTCAGAAGTCTCCCAGTCACTCCTCTAGCATGTTCCAGTTTCCAGAACAGCCTCTTGTGTGAGACTCTGTCAAAAGTCTTTTTTTAGGTCCAGATAAGCAGTCAACCCAACCACATCTTTCCTGTATTATCTCTGTGGCTCGATCATAGAAACTGAGTAAATTCGTTACACAGGCTCTTCCAGATCGAAAAGCATACTGTCTTTCTGATATTATATAGTTTTTCTCCAGATGTTCTATCTATTTAGTTTTAATGATTTATTTCAATACTTTGACTATTACACTTGCCAGTGATACAGGTCTATAGATGAAAGGGGATCTTCCTGTTCCCACTTTTGTAGACTGGAACTATGTTAGCTTTTTTTCCACACATCTGCTATGACTCCTGTACACAGGGATGCCCGGAAAATCAGTTGAAGTGGAATGCTGAGCGCAGGTGCACATTCTCTCAGAACCCATGGTGAAACTCCATCTGGGCCAACTGCTTTGTTCTTACTCACGCTCCTTGAGCATTTTTTCCAATTCATTTCTAGACACCTCTATGTACTCTATGTTGTTCTCTGGAATTCTTATTGTGTCTGGTTCCCTGAAGATTTCATTTTGTACAAACACACTTTGGAACTTTTCGTTTAATGTTGAACACATTTCCTTTTCGTTTTCCGTGAATCTGTTTCCCATTTTCAACCTCTGAATATTATCCTTTACCTGCAATTTGTTGTTTATGAATTTATAGAATAGGCTTGGTTCTGCTTTACATTTGTCCGCAATCCTTTTTTCAAAATTTCTTTCTGCCTTTTTCCTCACTGCTGTGTAGTTGTTTCTCACATCTTTGTATAGCTGATATGTTTGGGGATTTGGCCTCTTCCTATATCGATCCCATGCTTGTGTCTTTTAGTCTCTGGCCCTCTAGCAATTTCTGTTGAACCAATCCTGTTTCCTGGTTCTGCATCTCTGCTTTGGTATATATTTTTGTGCCTTTATCATATACAGTATTTCACAAAACTTTACATACATCTCATTTACTTCATTTCCTAACAGTAAGTCTTTCCAGTCAAATTCCTTAAAGACATTTCTAAGTTCCCCATAATGTCCTCTCCTGAAATCAGAGTTTTTAACTGTTTCAACCTCCTTATTTTCTTCCAGATTATAACGCACTGAACAACACCTACGACACTGATTAGCACATACAATGTTTACCATCGACATTGTAGACAGCGAGACACGCTAAACTGTGTGTGGCTATCTTCATACAGTCATTAAAGACTGTGACTTTGTAGACAAACTAGCCAAACAACCAACTGAAAAAGTGGTTGTTGATATAACTCTGACTTTATACATGAGAGAACTTTGATAGGTATACTCAAGTTGCATTCTTGTAAACAACATGGTCTTGACTTAAGGAAGGACATTCACAAAAAAATACCAAGGCCAGATTTGGCTGGATAAATATATCAATAATGCACTAAATGCTACGTAAATACAACTGAGGAAACATTAGCAGCAATTTTAAAAATAGTAATATCAATAGCACTAATATACCATAGTGGCAATAATAATTCACGGGATTAGGAGCCAACTATCTGTGAAGTTATTACCCAGTTCGGAACCGTATATAATATTCGCAGTGAAACAAATTCCATGTGTGCGCCTCAAGCTCCCCTTGCTTACAAAAATTAATTGCCTGTCATGTTATATTTTGTTTAAAAAAAATGATTTTTCGCATATGAATTTTGTTAACTGTATATTAGACCTGCTCCCCACAGAGAATTTTTTACTTTAATATAAACTGGGGCTGCGTGTCGGTGACAGGACCAGTCTCGTTCATATTTTATGGTCAAAAGCGCCCATGGTCGAACCTTAGTTCTTGTCTCTGTTTTTAATAATTGTTTTAAATAACATCAACTGTGAAAGCCGTCTAAATCGCCGAGTAGGCATCACCAACCAATTATTGTCGTGTTATTACATTCACTCATTTTTCTCGGACTAATGTGGCACTTGTGAACAACTGTGTATTGTCATATCTACAGCAATTCTAAGAACCGTAGACAGTATTTCCATATCTACGACACTTCAAAAGAACCGTGCATTCTCATTTATATATACAGCACTTCTAAAATGGGGTATTATCTATGCTAAATGCTAAGATAACACGAAGAGTATGAGTATGTTGTTGTTGTTGATTTAGGGGCGACGACGATCGTGGGATCGGATGCGCCCCGGCGTACCCGTTAAGGGTGAATTGCGAAGCCAGGAAAGGTGAAACGCCAAGCCAAAACGCGAAACGAGTGACGACAATCACTTGAAACTAATATGCCATACAGCAAATAAATGCACAGTCAGGCAGATGATTGGGGAGTTCCAGGAGTCCCTCAGGGTGACAAGCACCGGCCCCGTTCCAAACACCAGGTAGCAAAACCAAAACTCGGCCCCCAACTAAATCGCAAAAAATCATCCAGTGTCCTCCGGCAGAGCAGAAGCCGGCCGCCCACCACGGCTGAGGGCACCAAGACCCGCCAACCCCCGGCACCTCTCGGCTAAGAAGGCCCCCGAACACCGTCACGCCGCCGGGAGAACCAGCCAGAACACGCCAAAAAAAAAAAAAAAATCTATCAACAATCCCGTGACCCAAGGCGTGATGTGCGCCAGGCGTCGTACAATCGGACCGTTGAAGAGGGATGCTAAATGGCAGTAGCAAAGCCAAAACGCGAAAACAGGACGTGATCCGGCGACTCCAAGGCGGAGGAGGTATCCAGACGTCCGCTCGGCATCAAGGTTGAACCAGGAGTCCGCCCACACGAAGAGTATCTCGTGGGGCAGGTGTTTGTAAACACGCAGGCATCAATGTGTGTTCGTCTGCTGGACCGCGGCTTGGGACATCTTATACGAGGCGGCTACGTTTAACCGTCGTCATATACCGGTAACCAATTAATACATTTACAATTAATACATTGAGATTTACCAATCCCAACATATCGTTGTGTCATTGTTTTCATCCAAAAGTCGATTAACAATACTTCCAGTTATAATGTTTGGAATAAATTTAACCACATACATTTATACTAATATCACTTACTTCCGTTATAATTTCCAATCGTGAAAAGTGTAAAATAAATTTTTCGTAATTTTGTTTGCTTAAAGTGTACGCTACGAAAATGCTTGTCCCTGTTTGAAATACTTATTCAATATCTTAAATAGAATGGTAATTCTAAACATAAATTCAGTTTCATTTTATACATTCCCAAAATTTAATATGCTGATCCAACCCAATTTAGGCATGAACCTCCCACAAGCATATTAAGGCACTGTTATTAACACTCACACTTTGTAATATATACTCTATATCTTTATCAGTCACACCCTGTTATTTCGAACTGTTCTGCCGGAGAGGATTTGACACTATTGTAATTTTTAGATCCATCAAACTCTATAGTTTTCTCACCGGAGAGCAAAATAAAACGTTACCAACCAATGACAACGTTGGTGTCACTGTCCCAAACACACAGGAATCTATACATCAGTTGATTGGCAGTTGAGAGGCGGGACCGAGGAGCCAGAGCTCGCCCCCCCCCCCCACAAGCACAACTAGGTGAATACAGGGTAGTCATTTGGAAGCAAAATATTTAAAGAGCAAATTAGGATTTATGACTTAAAACTTTTCAAATACCGGGATCGTTAGGTCGGGATCTACTAAAAAGTGTCCTGTACTCTAATCCAAAAGAGAGTTTAGTACTAAACTCTTAAATACACAGTTCGGTATTTATGCCCATAACATTTGTATTAAACTTGACGAAGTACTGATTATATCAGTCACCAGCAATTCTACCACAATATAAATACAGTATATATACCCCACAACGTAACGCCCAGTAATATAGTTTTGAACTATAGATCCATGTTGTGAGGTTGAAAGTTTTGTCACATAACACAAAGGAAACAAACAAAAGAGCGTTATATATATATATATATATATATATATATATATATATATATATATATATATATATATATATATATATATATATATATATATATATATATATATATAATATATATATATATATAATATATATTATATATATATATATATATATATATATATATATATATATATATATATATATATTATTTTTGCTTGCATGCAAACGAAGAGCTTTAGATCCTCTTCAGCAGAAGAGGATCCTGGTTTAGGACCAGAATATTCAGTCTACGTTTCTTTGTGATTTCATTTCTTTGCGGAGTAAATAGGATGGAGAGGCATAGGTGAAGGAAAGTTTAGAAGCGGGAAATACAGTGAGAGGTATGAAAGCAGGCGGGCTGTCCGCCTTGCTGACACGATGTGTGTGGGTGTTGGCAGCTAAGCTAAGCTTGCTCTCTCTTGTCAGGGAGCTGTGAGTGTGAGAGAGGTTCTTCACATGTATTTCAGCATATACGGATGTGTATAGATGATTACTGTGTAGCATTCACTCAAAATAGTGTAATTATTTTCATAAAAATGTGAATATACACTATATATATATATATATATATATATATATATATATATATATATATATATATATATATATATATATATATATATATATATATATATATTGTATAAGTTTTTTTTAATATTAATTAACAAGGGAAGGGAGTACCACCTCTGGCTGGAAGAAGGGGATCCTTAGCCTCGGAGGAAACCAGACATAACGCATTAGAGGGAATGTTTAGGTCCCCTCCAATACAGTATATATAGATATACTGTATATGTATATATTAAATATCATTGAAAGCTGCTGACAATTCTTACGGCAATATAGCAAGACATTGGAGCAGTGATACACATAAAATTAAAAGTCAAGTGGTAAAAAAAGATCTTAAACAAAGAATTGTCTTCATATGTGTGTTTATTATTAAAGCCTCCATATTTTATTACTAGGAGGGTATGTACAATAATTGTAATACTGCAGCGGCGTACAGAAGTATCTGGTACGACAACACCCTGCAAGCCCTACTACTGACATTCTTCATGCTGCTGCTCCTACTAACGCCTTCCACCAAATCTGCATCCAACAGTTTATCGGATTCACTGGAGGGCGAGATTTCTTCTCTGTCTTTAGTGGTAGCCTCCTCCGTATCCGAACCCATGTCCTGCTCCGTAACCCCCAAACCCTCCGTTGTTAGCCCCTTTTGCCTTGGCGAGAGCTTTGGATGCTGCGATCTGTGCCTGAGAGGCGGCTCCTGCGGCCGAGTGCAAATCGTTGATGACCACATTCTGCTGTGTGCGCAGAGAGTTGGCTGCCTGTTGCGCCTGCCACGCCATGGAGTTCTGAGAGTTGAGGACGCTTTCCTGGGCAGCAAGACTGCCAGTAGCCTGACCTGCCAGGGCGTTGGTCTCGCCAGAAACCTGACCCAAATTACTGACCAGAGCACGAGCCATGGAATGAGCCACCTTAGCCGCTTGCTCAGCCTTGTGGGCCTTACCAGCCAGTGATGCCTCCTGGAAGGCCGCCGCCTGAGCTCCTTGTGCAGCCTGGGTGATCTGTGCGGCCTGTGCATGTCTGTTGGCTGCGGCAGCTTGAGCTGTCTGTGAAGCAGCGGCAGCAGCAGCTGCGGCACCTGCAGCGGCTCCGGCAGCTGCAGAATGAGCTGCACCTCCTAGACTAGCAAAAGCAGCGGTGGCCTGAGAGGCAGCTTGGTTAGCGATGTCTGCGGCAGAAGGGCCGTGACCCCCATGACCGTAGCCGCCCACCACCAGGTAGCTGCCACCATTACCGTAAGCTCCACCGCCACCGCCGCCTCCGTAGCCGCCGCCATAGCCGCCAGCGAACCCACGTTTTTCCTGTTACAATTACATGACAACGTATGGATACAATAGCAGAAGTGTCTGATTAAAGGATAGTTTCCAGTCCCGTCAACAATATATTTTTCTGTAGTCTTAAAAAAATAATATTTTAGTAGATGTGAACAAAATAATTGCATTTTCCATTATACATGATGGACAGAGACTAAGCTAAGTTTACTTAGAGACAATATGAGCCTTCAACAAATATAAACAATTACAGGAAGTAACGGATGTCGATACAAAAGACATCAGTTTCAGAGTAAATTCACAATAGCGGAGGCAAGAACAAATCGACTTTAAACCCATTTAGGATTAATGAGATATAACCTCAAGGGCTAATAATGTAAATACTGTACGCTATGAATGCTTAAATATAGCAAATATACGTTCTATTAGGCTTATACCAACTGGTAAATCTTCATCGGAAATTAAGATATAAAGTTATTGGTGATGGAAAGGTTAATTCTGACATTAACACCGTCATTATGATAAATGAAGAATATAAAGAGCATCTCTCATCAGTTATTATCAGCACAAAGAATGACCAAGGCAGACAAAGATGTGTACTCACCCTCGAGACTTCCTCAGCAGTTGCCACACCTGTAATAAAAACAACAAAAACGCTTAAAAAATCTTGCATGCAGTATAAGGTTTATATTAAAATTTTACTATTTAACTTAAAATTGGTCCCCTGCATAGCTTATGTAAGACATGTTGCCAATCTTGTAACGTTAATATAAATTAATACTATCTTTATAATTGCAGTTGGCAATATTATTGACAATCATGCTTAAACGTTGTAGAGATATGCAAAGGCCATCTCCAAAGAAACGTATATAAACATATTGCAATTGTAATGTATTTCTAGTAATAAATATCAAATACATCAAAAAAAAAAAACTTCGGCTCGTGAAACTAATTTTAGACCGAAGTATTAAATAAGCTTGTAAAAAAATAGTAGTTATAAATGCGTCTGGAACTGAAATAAGTAATCTTGAAGGAAAGTTTTCGTACGTTAATGACAAATTGGCTTCTATGCTTTCAACAGAAACGGGAACTATGTCACTGCTACAGTATAGACCCGCATATATATATGGCATAACTGCATTCATACAAGCCTCAGATTTCCACCAATACATTTTTGTATCACAAAACAGAGTAAAACGATTTTTAATAAGAAATGATAGTATGCTTATTTTGCTTGGTATAACCAAATAAATAGTATTCCTGTTTTTTGTATGAATTTGTGTTCACGTCTTGTCAGTTTGCAAGGGCCTTCTTGTTTTTATCAATGGGAAAATACCCGATATATTTTTAAAATTAAACTAAATATTAAATAGACATTTTCCTAAAATGAGAAAAAGCTTGCAAGGCATAACAAACTTGGGTGGGCGTAGGGGACTCAGATCTCAACCTGTCCTCTTAATGAACGCACTACATTTGTTAGGCTATCGACCCTAACGTAAAAATTGCCGTGGTTTATTAACGGTTGCTTAGTTTTACGCTTTTAGTTAAGTTTAACCACTGCATTTTAACCCCGGGGAAATCGACGGAAGTGACTGCATACCGAGAGTGAGGGCCACGAGGAGGAACTTGCAAGACAACATGACTTAGGAGCTGTGGTGTCGTTGCCGGAGGAGGAGCAAGTGATGCTGAGGGCCGCAACCGCTGCTATTTATACCCCGACCCCGCCCTCTCATGCATACGCGTCGCCTTAATTCTTTGTTCAGCGTCCACTGTCGTTTCTAAAGACTACTCGAAGACATGTTAAATATCAACTGTAAACTCAGTCATCACGAGCCACTCAAATTAACTGAATGTTGTTTTAATATATGATCATACTTCATAGGACCAAATATAGAGAATATATAATATCTTTACTCGAACACTGCTTTCTCTGTTCGGCTGTACAGGTTCTGCACAGCATTCAAGATTTTATATAACTTTAATTAACCTATTATCTCTCACAAATGTTCAATATTAACATATCTACTTATTCATAATTTGAGTTTTCAAATGTTCCATGCTGCATAATTTATTTTTAAGATTGTCTTCCAGAAACGCACACAGCATCTATGGAGAGTTGCCGTGGATTTGGTGCCACCAGCATTCGTTAGTTTATTGTGCACCACATACCCATCATTTGAGTTGTAGCTCAATATGATACTAGAGGGCGCAAAAAGCCTTAATCACACCCCAGTGAGTATTGTCACATGGTTACAGTTTTCAAGCATAGTTCATAAAATTATGATAGTAATAGTCAAATTTACTGTTTGTACTGAAACTCTTACGTATAATAATGTAAAATTTCTTATTGGAGTTAAATTACTCAGATAATAGTTTGTATAGTATTTCAAAAAGGTATTATAAACAAGTTTTGTAATTTTCTTGTAAAAATATCAGATTTGGGCTATGAATTACAGTGTAAAAATTTCAGGTGCAAGCATCGTTAACAATGAAGTGGTGTGCCATTTCACGCAACAATAGCTTAACTCTCTCTTAAGGCTCAACTTTCAGTCTTAAAAACATTGATGAGGTGCGTGATCCTGTCTTTCTTCACGCACATTACATTTCATGCGATATATTTTCCCGTACATCTGCAAGCTGAACTGTCTGAGATACTTATCTTCAAATCATAGTCCAATTGTGACAATATTTACTAGTCTACTATAAATATCGGTTAAAAATATGTTTTGTTTAGCACATTTAGCTGGGACAAATACAAACTGGATCTACAAATGCCTGTTTGCACTCTGCATCCGAGATTTTTCGTTTGATTAAAGTTTTAAGACTTCTGCTTGGTAGCCTGAGATTATGTTCAAATCTGTGTTTATTTACTCCAACTTGAGTTAGAGCACCGACCTATATGAGGGGAATCCACATCAGTTTGGCTCGAATCCTTTTTATAAGGGCTATGCGTTTGTATTTTTGTCTTGTTACAGAAACAAGCATGTTAAATGTTGATTATAAGCTATTTAGCGCTAGTAATCAGAATAAAGACTCGGAGATGATTAAGCTATCTATAGAATTTTTTTTAGTAATTTTGAGCGCTACAAAAAGAAACAGTAGAGAACAAAAAAAAGAGGTAAGTGAACATGCAGCGAATGTTAAGACAGGTCAATAATGACCATAATGACGCGAGGGAGGGATAGGGTGGAGGGAGGAAGGGACGGATGGGAGGGGGGAGGGAGGGACGGACGGACGGGGGAGGGACGGACGGACGGGGGGAGGGAGGGACGGACGGCCGGAGAGGGAAGGACGGGGGGAGCAAGGAGGGACGGACGGGCGGAGATAGGGACGGATGGACGGAGAGAGGGAAGGACGGGAGGAGGGAAGGGCGGGAGGAGGGAAGGGCGGGAGGAGGGAAGGACGGGAGGAGGGAGGGACAAGAAGGAGGGACGGACGATAGGGAGGGAGGGACGGACAAACGGAAGGACGGGAGGAGGGACGGGCGGAGAGAGGGAGAGGAGGGAGGGAGGGAGGGAGGGAGGGAGGGAGGGAGGGAGGGAGGGAGGGGGAGGGAGGGAGGGACGGACGGACGGACGGACGGGAGGAGGGAGGGTAGGAGGAGAGAAGGTAGGGAGGGTGGGAGGAAGGAACGGGCGGAGAGGGAAGGACGGTAAGAGGGAGGGAGGGAGATCTGTGGCAGTTGAAGAAGTCTCGATGCAAAAAAACATGCAAACAAAAAGACAGGAAAGACAATATTTTCAACCTAGTGCAAGAACTACATTTTAAAGGAAAAGGAACATTCACAAATTGATACATCAATTTAGTTATTGAAGACTACGTTTAAATTTCTAAAGAATTTGATTGCTAAATGCATATATCTGAAAATAAACTAATAAGTTTTAAAATAATTACATGGAATACAATTTCTTTCTTTATTATACACCCCATACCCATCCCGTGGGCGGTGGTGGAAAGGGTTACAGAGGCACATAATGAGTTCAGGAACTGAACCCCAGGAAATGCTTTCATGCTTCACATGAAAGCAGTGAAGTTTTAAAAACTAAGTTTTCACTGTAATCAGTAGAGGAATTAGTTTTTTCAATAACCCAATAAAACAACACGAATGAAAAAAAGCTATTACATTTATTACCAACATTTTATCTCATGTAATTAAGTAACTCAATTAATTAATTACCAGCATATATTCACCATTCGTGCCTACAATGAAACCAATGAACAATGGCCGAGAGCCTCTCGAGCTTCATTCAGTTCCATGTAGTATGTCTGGACTCTTTACACCTGAGGCGCACACCACTCTAAGGCAATGTCGCAAACTCTCCCACTCTCTGTTTCACAACGCTTTACATACACATCGTGAACCTGCCCACCATTGGATCTGATAATGGCCTAAGTGAAAAATCGGTGTCCAATTGGTCCACCATGCCAGGACTCGAACACAGGTTCACATGTTTCTGCAGCGAATGTTCTAAATTTGAACTACGGTACAGACCCATCAACGTGTTAAACTTCAACCCCCCATCTGAAATTAAATCAAATTTGAAGAACTTGAGGAAGATAGTATTTTCCGTGTTACAGTTTAGAGACCATTGCAAGCTGCATGCAAGTATCTGATAGGTCCTTTAAACAACAGAACACCACTTTTTGTGTAAGAGTAAAAAAGTGATGAAAGAAAATGGTCCGTCACGAAGAAAGGGAACAGATCAGGTGGCAGAGGTAAGAGGAAGACATAATGGTCCGGGAACATACAAAAACACGACGAAGGCTACAATTTTTGCTGTGATTTATTACTAAACAATTTCAATAACTAGTCATTTTGCATGATAAAAATATTACAAATTGTTGATAATTTTTACTTAACGCTTTTATATATAATATTGAATTTTTAATACAGGCTTACTGAATTTACTCCGGATTTAATACACATTGCAATGCATTGTTGCATACGACAGAACACGTGCCAACACTACCACAGGACTGGTAATAACCACCATCCTCGTCTCTCAACACGTCACCTTACTACCACCACCTTCCTCACTCACCATGGCGGCGGTACTGAGTGGACTGTCACTGCTTGCCAAGGATACCCTCTATCCTTCTCATGTTTACTCACTGCACCTGCCATGTCATACAGGGTAACAAACGCTCTTCTGTATGACGGACACCACACGATTGGACCAGTAGCGATGATAATGGTATCGGCCGGGACAAACCGGGCGGATAATTTCTATTCCGGGCGGCACGGAATGATTGGGGACGTTTCCTTTCCTCTTATGCCTCTGTTCACCTAGCAGTAAACAGGTACCCGGGACTTAGTAACTGTTTTTGGGTGTTGCCGCCGAAGGCGACTAGTTTATTGTGCAACCCATACTCATCCTGTGAGCGGTAGCGCAAAAAAGGATTACAGAGAGAGCACAAAAGTCTTTATCAGACCTCAAAGGTGATTATTACATTAACAATTACATCTCTCTTGCACACCTTATAATTATACTGTCAGCGAGTAAGAGAGCTTGTTCTACTTCAATGACTATGTATTTACAGTTAATCATTATACATTTATAGTAGGTCTTTTCGCTAATACATAATTGCTTTAGCTATGCAACTATAGATATTACAGGGCCACAGGGGAGCTG